TCCAGTGAAATATATTTATGTTTGTGGTTGTAATGTGACAAAATATGGAAAAGTTCAAGGGGTATGAATACTTTTGCAAACCACTGTAAATATTACAGTAAAAACAAAACTACTACTCCCTGTATTTTTATGTGACCCAGCATACTGATAAATAAGAATCTAATTAAGTCACAAACCAATTATTTTTTGCTCAGAATATCAGTCCCTGTCCCTTCTCTACCCCCCAATAACCTAGTTATGCCCATAACTTGTGCTACAACACATCTAAGGAGGAAAACCAGCAATAAATGCTTCTGATGGAAATCAAACGTTGGAGCAGAGCTGCACTATCTGAAATGTAAAACCCAGGTTTTCTAACAATCTCTGTGAAATCAGACAGCCGATGAAGAACTCGACCTTCTCAGCTCAGGGTGTGCTTTCAGGAGCAGCACAAAATTAAAATAATAAACTTTACTGGTTGACCTGCATACTTGAGATGTAAACTGTTAAATTACTGAAACAGCTTTAGTCTCACAGAACCAACTCTGATTTATAGGCCACCAGGGTTCAGCCTTCTGCCGACCAGGATTCATTGTTAAAGAGGCCTGTGCTGGCCTTCTAAATCCCTGAAACACAGGGTCTGTCAGAGGCCGACGCAGCACCCGCCTGTACTCCATTTCTAGTGAGGTGTTGGCAAAGCTGCCCTTCACATCAACTCAAAAGCTTAGAATTTATTTCTAAGGAGGTCAACGATGACATGCACCAATGAGGGTAAAGAAAATTATCATTCCCAAATTTCAATAAATAAAGTTGCATAGACTTTAACAAAGCAAAAACTAGTTGTGCGTTGGAAAAATACCTGCCTGAGCGAGAGTTTAATTCGTGAGCTTATTGCGATTTTGGCAATACAGATTTGATATATTTTACTGTAACTGTTCTCTGAAGTTATAAATGCAAAACTACCGTAGTTATTTCATCTTCATTTTTTGATTTACATTGATTTATAAAAGATATATAATCATTGTCCTTTTAACTTCAAATTGCACAAATCAAATACATTTGTATCAAAGCCCATTTTGATTTAGTTCCATCATTTCATTGGTTGCTCAATGTCCACCTTATTTTTTATTTTTTCCTTCAGAATCATTGTTAATTTTAAGCTGTTTGTACATATGAACATTAAAGATGTTCTGAAAAATATACTGACATTGTGATAAACTGCTTTAGCTTTAGGTAAGGGAGCTCTCTCAGAAYGGGAGCGCTGCTTCGGGCACAGGACGCAGACGGTAACAAACGATTCATTCACTGTCCTGATTTGTTAATTTGAGTCAGGAGTCATACTTCATACTCATGATTCCTGGCTCCAACATGTGAATCAGGAAATTTGTTTGCTTCATTTGTTCAGTTGTCACAGAACACTACACCTGAGTGATTCATTTGTTCATTGCTCACAGAAGAACTGTAGGGGAACCATTGAGCTCTGCTGTTTTTCCTCACAGATTTAATGCAACAGTTGCCTTGATTTGTTTATTAAATACAGTCAGAATAGCGGCTGCACAATAGCAACATGTTGTCTGCCTGGTCTTTTTTAAAGTTAGCTGTAACTAGCTAGCTGCAGCATGGACGAACCAGTGAGTTAATGACTTAATGGAAAAGATTATTGACTCCGGAATCATGAAGATGACTCATGGGTTTGAACAGTTTGTCCAGGACTCTCACTTAAGTTCTACACACAAAACAAGCAGATTTAGTTTTTACATTAGTGAACAGATCCTATGCCTTTCACCTGTCTGGAAATATCCTGTTTTAAGAGTCCATCTATGAGTTGACAGGTTTTAGGATGCTCAACATTTCTGTACGATCCTATGATTTGAGAACAAACAACAGAGAGTTAGGGGAATTTAGACTTACCCTTTGATTAAAGTGATAAAATCTTAACTATTACACTGCAGTCTATTCGTGGGTCAACCCTAGATGCATAAACATTATCTAGCTGGTCAAATAAAATTGTAACATGGGCCAGATCTGTTCTGCTGCCCTTAGTTTGATGTACTGTATACTATTTATGTGTTTAAAGTGACACTTCACAATACAAGTAATGTTTAAGAACATTTTGTGAAAGCTGTGTCCTGTGCTCAAGTGGTGCTGTGCCTATTCTTAGAACACAGCTAGTCCACAACTGGACCTGTCTGGTTTTACCCACACACATGCAGTGTGTCCTGCTGCGGAGGAAGGAGGGGAAACATAAATATCTGGGATGACTCATGTTCAAAAGCTTACTTCTAAGAAGCTCATTTGAGACTTGGCTGCGTAAAAAGCAAATTTAAACAAGCAAATAGTGTCTTGAAGAATTATTAGAGTGCCTTGGATGTTTAATGTCTCCTGTTCAGGAGAGATGGATCAAATTTAAACCAGAGACATGAAGATTATACGAGTGCTGATTACAAACAGAAGACTAAAACCTCTGGGACTTCAGGCCTGTTGTGTGGATAGTAATAAGCAGCCAGTAGACACAGCTGGCCAGTAGGATCTGTGTGCAAAATATCCAGTCCACTTCCTGTTTATATGCAGCTCAGACACAAGAGCAAACATTTCAGGATCATCTTTAAAACACCCTCTTATCAGCAACATCACATGGTCTGATACTGACACATACAAAGAAACAAAGCCGAACCAACTGCAAGAGTTCAATATAAAAATAAAGGCATCAAAGAAGCACCTGGTCCCACCAGGCAGTTCTTTTGCCAAAAATAGTGGAGGTCCCTCAGTGTACACTGAAAATGTCAGCCTGAGCTGGACACGTGCACACAGCCTCATGCAGATACTCATTCCTGTCTCATACATCATCCTGCTTTCCTTTACTCCATCCAGTTTGGACAAGACCAAACAGCTTTTTCATGAGATACATGCACTGTATGTTTTTTCCACAGGTTATTTAAATGGCAGTGGTTGAAATCCTGAATGTGTTGACCAGACGAGAGGCTAGAAATGAGCACAGCATGAAATTATCACGTGACAAATCAGAGCCATAGTACCACGATGACCTTAAACCATCAGTTCAACGTAACTATATAAACAGTTTGCTTAATCAAAGTTAGCCTTTGTATTTTAGTCTTTACGTTTTTACTGTAGAGAGTAAAATACAAGCTTAGATAGTCTCTGATTATTTAAAATTATAACTGAAGATTGTGGCCATAATTTGTCAGGAATACCCATCAGTGAGTTCCAGAAGGTTTTATACTGGTGACTTACAGACACAGATGGTGGCGAGCAGTTTGGTAGCGATGAACGGAGGCAGGCAGTTTTGAAAGGCTGGTTGCAGGACATAATTGGAAAAGGTGAGAGCGATGACAGCCAGCGTAGTTGGATACATGATGAGGACGGCACTCCATAACAACAGGAAGCTGAAAACAAAAAGACAAAACAGGGAAAATAATCAATCGCTTAAAAACACGACTGTGTAAAAGTTTCTGTCTATTTGGGCCGGGCAAAGAAAAAAAATGGATGTAGTTTGAGATACGTGCTTGGTCAAGGATGTCATAACAGTTAAACATTGCAGATAGAGGCACACAAATTGCACAATGTTGGCAGAACATGAACAGTTAGTTATCTGAATAATTAGTGCCTATACTGACAAACCATCAGGTCCTTCTTGTTTGCTGCCAAAACAAGGGTCACATCTTCCTCAGGTATACACAGAGAAGACCTTTCATAACATGGAAATGAACATGAGTTTTTCTTTTTCAACCTGGTCCCCATGTTTGTTTACCCTGCAGTCCAATTTTCAGTCCTGGAACTGGAAGTTCTTTCAGCGTTAAGAACAAAATGGGTCATTGGGACTTAGACTTATCAGGTACTGTACACCTGCATTTGCAATGAGCTGTAACATTTCTAATGGTAAGAGGAATAGTTTTTAGCCAATTCGGGCAATAGCTCCTCTCAGCTCCTCCTCTACTTGATTAATCAACAAGTGACATTCATCATTCCAGTCCACACAGACAGTGAACCTCAGTTTACCAAGGAGAAGTTAAATATGTTTAAGATTTTACAGTTTTTCTCAGTTAATAAAACACTAAACCCTGTTTTTTGAACCAAATGCTCAGTTCCCTGAACCCATTTATTAAAATGGCCACMCTTTTGTCAGAATACTAAGCACGTTTCACCCAGTTAGACAACATGCAGACCTATTTTCACCAACTAAAACACATTTTCCCCTTTGATTCACATGGGTTCCACAATGATTAGCACAAGTAGCTAAAATGAGACACAAATAAAGCACTGCTGTCTGAACTGAAACACAGCAACTCAAAATAGATCACACACATGTCTAATGATGCGAACAAATCAATACAAAGCAGTACAAGGAGCTCTGGTCATCGAAGCTTCACTATGAATTGAAAAAAATCACAGAGGCAAATACTCTAAATATATATACTATGAAGAACTGCACTCATGCAACATATAGACTATAGTTACCACCTTAGATACATAGAACATCCTGATCCAGACTGACAAACAGGTGATGGCTAACCAGCTGGACATGGTGGTCGACAAAAAAGAAGAAGGCAGCAGTGATAGATGTAGAGATCATAAGTGACTGAAACACCAGGAAGAAGAAGAACGAGAAGCTGGATGAATACCAATAGGAAAAAAAGAAGTTATGGAGAGTCAAAGCATCAATAGTCAGGTGGTCACTGGAGCACTTGGCGCTGTGAACCCCAACCTAGAAGAGTGACTTCAACAGCTCCCAAGAACAACCTCAGAGATCTCTGTCTAGAAGAGGTTACTTGTAAGAACAGCTAAGATCCTGAACAAAACCCTGAAACTCCCAGGCCTCTGGTGGAGGACCTGAGTTTGAAATGAAATGGAAGAGTAGGGCGAGATACAAGTTTTCTATAAATTAGATATTTATTTATTTATTTATTTATTTATTGATTGATTGATTTATTTATGAAAGGGCTCTCCATGTTGACATGTTGGGCTTTAAAATGAAACCTGTGTTATTTTAGACCTGATCTGTTCATATTTAAAGTATTTTAGAACAAAGTGTTTCTTGCTGTTTGCCTGCAGTGTGCACAGAAATAAAAGCTTTTGTGATCATTTTGTAATGGTTTACAATTGTTTAAAAACTATTTCAGCCCATGGTCACATTCACACCTGATAGTCCTGTGGACTCGGTTCGATTGGAGATCAAAGTTGCAATTTGTCAAACGAACTAAACCCTGTGAAGAACCTGTTCACAAGAAGAAGCACGTCCAGCTTCACAGCAGTGAAGTCCACCTCATACAGACATGGAGCGAGCTTTTAACAAGATATGAGTAACTTTATAACTGTTATTACTCAGAATGACCTGTGTTTTAGTCCAGGGCTTCTTAACCTTTTTGACCTCGGGGCCCAATTTATTGAACATAAAGTGACACGAGGTCCAGTCAGACA